TTTCTTTCTTTCTTTCTTTCTTTCCTTCCTTCCTTCCTTCCTTCCTTCCTTCCTTCCTTCCTTCCTTCCTTCCTTCCTTCCTTCTCCGAGATGGACTTTGTCTGGGTAGCCTCGGCTGTCCCGGAACTTGCTCTATAGACCAGGCTGGCCTAGAACTCATAGAGGTCTGCATGCCTCTTGCTCCTGAGTGCTGGGGTTAAAGGTGCACCACTACCGCCTTGGCTTCACAATGTAGATTTCTTGAGGGTGATGATCTTAACAGAGTTGCATAGGAAAGTGCCTTTAGATCTTAGGAGGTGTTTGTTCAAATATTTGTGGAGAAAATGCATTACATGAATATTTTCTTCTATGCTTTGAAAACAAGCATGTAGAATAAAAAGTATAATGAATTCAATATTATGCAGCGATGGTACAGTGAGCAGCTGTTATGCTCTGAGTACTTCCCCCGGCACTAGGGTACCAACAGGGAGCAAACAAACTGATGAAGCTTGTCTTCATCAGTCTGCATTGTTCTGAGAGGGAGAAAAATGCATCTCCCTGTACTGAGTGATAGAAGCTACCCAGCTTCTTCATCAGGACCAAGGCACTTACTGCCTATAACGTCTATTTCACATTCTTTCTCTGGAATGCCCTTGGCTGCCAGGAAATGTCTGGCCCACCATTACAAGTTTCCCCACTGGGGGATGCCAACATGTGGTGATATGGTCCATAGAGTGTTACAGATGCCTAAGCTCTCATTCCAATATGGGATAGCTCTGAAGGGCCATCCTGACTCCAGTCTCCTTTAGCTACCTACCAGTGCAACTGTATGGCAGCCAAGCATCTCCCCAGCTCAGATCTATTCCTCTTTCTCCCCTGAAGGCATCTCTAAGACTTGCCCCAATTAACCCCCAGCATTTAGACCTTCCCTTCTCAGAATCCATTTCCAATGGAACCTGGCCTAGAGCTGGGGTCAGAGGTTGATGTTTTCCCAGCATAGATAATACCTCAGATTTCATCCCCAGTGTGTATACACACACACACTCTGCCCTAAAGTGTTGTGCAATTGTAGGGCTCTAGCTAGATTTGACTACCACCATCTTGAGTAGAAATGTTGTTTTTAGTAGGTGACACAGGCACACATTCCAAGTCCTACAGGATAAACGGTCATTAAGATTGTCAGCTGAGCATTTCTGCATGGTGCCCAAACTGGTGCTTGACTGATATCTGACAGGTTAATAGGTACACTCTGGTGGATTGCCTTATAAACATCTTCCTCCTACTGTGGGGTGCAGGGACTCTCCCAAGCGGCACTTTGGTCCATAAGACACCAACAAAATTGCACTTTGTGCAATTCTGCATTTGTCTGCTCTCCTGACACCTGCCGTTGGCAGCTGGTGCTCATGTACAGGAACTAGATTTGTCTGCAATAGCAATACAGTGAGCACAAGGTTACACATATGTGGTTCACAGGGACAGTGAAAGATCGGCAAGCTGAGGTCTCAGTAAATTTGGGCAAATCCCTGGTGCAGTCTGGGGACTAGAAACAAGTCCCCCGGAGAAAACAAAAGTATGGTCCAAGTTTGGTTTGTGTTGCTATGATAAAACACTACCCCCAAACTTGGGAAGCAAATGGTTTATTTGTCTTATACTTCCAGATTACAGTCCATCACTGAGGGAAGCCAAAACAGGAACCCGAAGACTGAAGCAGAGATGATGGGATTTCTGGCCTGCACTCTTTGGATCATGTCCAGCTATCTTCTTAATACCTTCCAGGACTGCCTGTCCAGGGGTGGCCACACCCACAGTGGGCTGGGCCCTCCTACATCATCCAACAGTCTAAGAAAAAACCACACAGACATGTTTACAGGCCAGGCTGATGGAGGTGTCTCCTCGTTAAGGTCTTCTCTCTTCAGGTTGTACAGTGATTTTTGTAATGGTGTGTGTGTGTGTGTGTGTGTGTGTGTGTGTGTGTGTGTGTGTGTGTGTGTTGCATATGTATATGCATGCTCACATGTGTGTGTAGGTGCATGTACATCTATCTGTGTGGGGGCCTGACGTTAACATCCAGTGTCTTCCTTGACCACCCTTTTTTTTTTTTCATTTTTAAATTGGGTTGTTCTTTATTTATTTATTTACTTGTTTATTGATTCTTTGGAAGTTTCACATTATGCACCCCAATTCTGTTCACCTCCCAGTCCCCCCATATCCTCCCTTCATCCTCGCCACCCCCCCACACATAAGGAAACAAGTCAAAGTATGGAAGCAAGCAAACAAAAGCAAAAACAAAAACAACAAACCAAAACCAAAACCACTTCAACAGAAAGATCTCTTTGCCTCTCCTTCTTTCCTGCTTCTCTGACACCTCTTCATTCATCCTGGTGACACTGGAGGCCTCAGAGTGCCATATAGTAGATCTCTTTGTCTCATCAGTTTTACTGGCTAGTGCTTATTGCAATGAGTCACTGTTCTGGTTCAAGGCCTCTGGTTCCTGGTACACCATCATCACTGGATCCTCACCAGAACTCCTCTGGGATATCCCGTGGCCACCCCAAGTCTTGGAGATCTTGTGGTTATAGCAAGTCCCTATACAAGCTCCAGCAGGTCCAAAAGGGGTAGACACTAGGGTGGGTCAACACAAGGTCCAGCTGTGGGCCTGGGTGGTAGCCAAGCTGATCAGTCTGGGCCTCTGGGGCCACCCACCGCAGGCAAAGGGATGGAGTCAACTCCCCTATAGGCATTTCTTCAGGGTTGGTTTACCCTGGGGTGTAGTGAGGGGTGAGGGCTTTCTCTTTAGCGTGCAGGGGCCAGCTCTCTTGCTATAGTGAAAGGCAAGGCCAGCTTTCCCAGGGCCAGCAAAGGGTGTGGCCAGCTCAGTATGGCCCTCTGATTTCATCTCACATGGTTCCTAAGGCCTCCTGAGGTGACACGGGCCACAGACATCCACACAGAACCAGCTGTAGCTGGACCACAGTCCTAGACATGGTCCTCAACAGCAGCTTGGGCCCGGTTGACATCCTGGCTCTGGATAGAGGGACTGGCCACTCAGGTGGGAATGGTTGTGGCCCTAACTTTAGGCCTCTAAGTGACCTTTGGTGGCCATGTAGGACCCAGACTTTGGCTGGCACAGACCCCAGCTGCAGTAGAACCATGGACCCCAACATGATCCTTGACAGTGGCTCGGTCTGGATGTCACCACTGCCCCAGACACCAACATGGCCCTCGACCTTGGGTGTCTGCACGTCCTTTGATGGTAACAGGTGCATCAGATATCAGCACAGACGCTGGCTGCAGTAGGGCCATGGCCCCTGACATGGCCCTCAGCTGCAGCTCTGGCCTGGGTCACCATGTCATTGAGTAGCAGTGCAGGCCAATCAGATCTGGATGCATCCTGGCCCTCAGGTGCATCCTGACTGGCCACTCAGGTGGCTGATCAGACCCTGGACATCCTCATGGTATTTGGTAGCAAGAGGAGCCATATACATGAATCCGGATCCTGGCTGCTATAGGGTCACGGACCCAGACATGGCCCTTGGCAGCATCCTGGACCCAGATGACACCATGGTCCTGGGTGGTAGCACAGACCACCCATATCTGTATGGCCCCTGCTGTGGCATGCCCTCAGACTCCAACCAAGTTGCAGGCTCCCGCCCAGATCCCAGGCCTCTGTATTGGCCCTAGTGGCAACCTGGGCCACAGACTTCAGCACAGACCCCAGCTGCAACTGGGCCATGAACCCAGACATGGCCTCAGGCAGCCGCTCAGCTTGGTCAACATCCTAGTTCCAAATGGTAACCATGGCAACTAAGATCAGGATGGCTCTGGTAGCAGTATGGTCCCTGGATACCAACAAGGCTACAGGCTATGTCTCAGACTTCATGTGGCCTGGCTTTATGTGGCCTTTGGTGGTACCATGGGACATGGGCATCACCTTAGACCTTGACTGTCTAAGGTGATGCCCATGTACCATGAACCTAAGACCATGAACCCAGACATAGTCCTCAGCAGCAACCTAGGCCTGGTTGTCACCATGGCCCCAGGTGGCAGCAAAGGCTGCCTGGATCAGTATGGACCAAGTAGCAGTGTGGATCGTGGACCCAAACATGGACTCAGGAGGTGGTCCAGGCCACTGGAATCAGTATGACACTCGATGGCAACAGGAGCCATGGACTTCAACACAGACCCTGGCTACCACAGGACCAGGGACCCTGAGATGGCCCTTGGCAGCAGCCGGGCCATCATCATGGCACCGGGTGACAAGCAGACCTGCCCTTCAGTCTACTACTCACCACCATCACCATGGATCCAGGTGGCAAGCAGGCCTCCAACGTGTGCCACGCCTCACTATTTTCATTTCTTCCTTTTTGTGTCTTTCCTCAGCACATGCACCATCTTGTTTCATTTTTCCACCACATATTTCCTCAATGGAATAAGGACCACATGCCCGGCATGCAAGTGCCTGGCGGGCCTCTGGTTGTCTTCCCCCAGCCTGGGCCTGGAGGACCTCCGGGTTGGCTGTCTTCCCGGGGGCATTGAGGACCAATCACACTTTCTTTACTGAGGCAGGTTTTCTCACTGAAGCTTGACAATTCTTGCTAGTCTGGGTGTTGGGATCCCAGGCAGATGCCACACCTGCCCAGCTTTTATGTAAGTTCTGGAGATCTGAACTCCAGTCTTCAAGCTGTACAGCAAGGGCTTTATCCACTGAGCCACCTCTTGGGGCCCCCAGTTACAGTCCTGCCTATATCCTAATCCAGCTTCTTCATAGTCTTCACATTAAAAATTTGTTTTGAGATAGACTCTCAAGTGTTCTAGGATGGCCTGAAACTCATGACTTCAACCTTCAGAATGCTGGGATTAGATACGTGAGCAGCGGCAGCTGGTATGTGGTGCTGAACGTAAGCTCAGGACTTCCCACATGGCAGGCAAGTTCTCGACCCCAGCTGAACTGCCTCTCCAGTCCCAGGCTGAAAACTTTTGTTAAAGTCTTTGGGCAATATTTTACTTCACTTGTAACTTTTTTCTTTCTTTTGTTTAGTGGGAAAGATAAAGCCTGCGGCAAAATCTCTCAGATAGGAGAAGGAGAGGAGAAGCAAGATATTCTAACCCTACTCTTCTCCTCACAGCTCATTCCCTCCTCCTCCTTTTCCTCTTTCTCTTTTTAATAAATGCATAAAGCAGGACAGCCTTGACAAGTGGTTATGGATAATGGGTCGGCAGAAGCCACCCACCTACCTGCCCTCCATTTGCGAGAGCCCGGAAACAGCGAGGACTGAATTCTGGCCTCTGTCGCTTACTCCATCTCCATAATGACCATGCCTGAGGCACCTGAGATAGTGGAGAAGTGCTCGCAGGAGAAGACTCTCTGATCATTGCAAGGTTATGATGCTTCCTGACAGTTGTGGGTGGGAGAAAATGATGAGGCTGAGAGCTGTGCGATCATTTGGTCTTCCTCGTTAGAGCACAGCCAGGTGCCGGCAGTGGCCTCCCAACAGCTGTTCGTGCTGGTGGAGGGCAATCTGAGATTGGCACCCTCATGTTGATTCTCCATCCTCTGGCTGTGTTTACCTTCCATGTTGATCAGATCAGGTCGGGCAGAGAAGGACAGCAGCATTCTAGTTCAGTTCATTTAGTAACAGTTGTCTCTGTGGGCAAAAATCAATGCTTATCAGAGGCCAGAGTTTCCTCACAGAGTGCCTCGTCTGCTTTCTCGATTTCCTCTTGGGGCCATGCCCTTAACCTTAATGCCCATGAGCTTGGCCCCCGGTGTCATCTGTACTGTTAGAGGATAGAGTTTTCAAATGGTTTATCAGGTTTACTTTGTCAAACTGGCAAAGAAAATACACAGCCATATAGATTAAGCTGATATGTGTTGTAAATTTTCTTTATATTGCTGTGGTAGTGTTTATCATAACCTAGAACAACTTTGGGAGGAGAGGATTTACTTCATCTTACACCTTACAGTCCTTCATCTAGGGAAGGGGCAAGAACTCAAGGCAGGAGCTTGAAGCAGAGACCACAGAGGAACGCTGCTTACTGGCTTGCTGTTGGCTTATTTCCAGCTTCCTTCCATTTTTCCTTCCTTCCTTCCTTCCTTCCTTCCTTCCTTCCTTCCTTCCTTCCTTCCTTCCTTCCTCCCTCCCTCCCTCCCTTCCTATTAATTAATTAATTAATTAATTTTACATCCTGAGTACAGCCTCCCCTCCCTTCCCTTCTCCCCCTCCCCCCTTCCCCTCTGCCCTACCTCCACCTTCATGTTCACTCAGAAAGGGACTGGAGAGATGGCTCAGCTGTTAAAGGCTAGGCTCACCACCAAAAATTAGCTACCTTTCTTGTGCTGCCCAGGCCCACCTACCTAGGGATGGCACTGCCCCAGGGGGCTGGTCCTTTCTACATCAATTAGCAATCAAGAAAATATGCCACAGACATGGCCATGGGCCGACCTGATGGAGGCAGTTCTTCATTTCAGGGTCCCTCTTCTCAGGCATGTCAAGTCGGCAATCAAGGTTACATCATCACAATGTTCTAGTTCCGTTCTCACCTCCTGTACAGCTGACTTCTCCCAGAGAAACCTAAGAGGTAGAGGAAGTGTCCAAGAAGGAAGCCATGGTCTTTTTATAATCTAATACACGAGTTCCACGTGACTCCTATTTGTGACTTGTGAGTCATTAGCCTATCCTCCACTAGAGTAGTGAGACTCTAATGAAGGCATGAAAAACAAGAGGTGGGGACTGCCGAGGGCCAGTTTAAAAGCAAAGGCTTCAATTACTATATCCCGCAAGGCATTCCAATAGACCCTGTGCTGCTTATAAGAGTATAATGCAGAAGAATTTTAGATTCATTGATGTTAAATAACCTGTCTAGATCACATAGATATACATAAATAATTATATAACCAACTAAAAATAATTTAAAATACCATAATAACAAATAACATTGTAGACAAGATTTCATAAAGAAAATTTAGGCCCCAGATGTTCTTTTTGTTGCCCTGACAGTTTTTTACAGATTACTGTGTATTTATCATGTGACATTTTCTACAGTCATTACTGTAGATTGAGTATCTGTGTCCTAAAACTCATCTGTTGCAACCTAGTACTTCCTAAGACA